CTATCTATCTATCTATCTATCTATCTATCTATCTATCTATATATTCTATCTATCTATCTATCTATCTATCTATCTATATCTATCTATCAGATTCTATCTATCTATCTATCTATCTATCTATCTATCTATCTATCTATGTATAATATTATGCATATCTACCAAGTCTTCTGTGTATCTCTCTCTTCGTCTATGTCCAGTTATATACCGGACTATCGATGCAACATCTATCTGTGCACCTACCTAATCCACCAGTCTATTTGCGGCACATGATCGTCTGCCCGCACGACTCGCTTGCACGTGAACCATCAATCAAGTGCATACACGGGACTAGGAGACACACCACTCAGCTGACGGGTCTTCGTTTCAGGGGAAAAAAAAAAAAAAAAAAAAAAAAAAAAGAAAGCAGTTCTTCGTCTGATCCAGCAGCCCCTTTCCTGCCCAGGGGGTCGATGGTCCCCACCTCTGCCAGTTCTCCACCAGCACACTTTTTTCCTTCCAGATTTGAAATTCCAATGCATGAAAATGCAGGCTGCAGGGGTGATCGTCGTCTCTCTCACTACGCAGTCTACGCCCCAAGGTCCGTAACGCATAGGCATTTTGGAACGTCTTTTTTTTTTCCGTTTGTTCTCTTTTCGATTCCCATCGACGCGCCGCTAAGCCTTCTCAAAAATCCTGACCGGCGACCACATAATGCTCATAAGACGTTCGTACCGCGCCGTGTGTCAGATCATGTCGTGTGTCATCCTACGGTGCAGAATCTGCAGATCCCGCATCACGTGCACATGGAGGAAGAGATATCAGATCTCTACTCGCCCGCGCCGTCACCACCCAAAAAAAAAAAACAAAAAAAAACGAGGTACAGGCTCCGCATGAGACTCTACGGAATTGGAGTGCAATCCGGCGTCTGGGACATTCCAGCAAAGCAATTGACGACATACCGCGAGAGAGAGAGAGAGAGAGAGAGAGAGAGAGAGAGAGAGAGAGAGAGAGAGAGAGAGAGAG